ATAGAGCGTAGTGGGTAGTGGCAAAGGGTAGTGAGTAGTAAGTCGCAGGTAGGGAGTAGCGAGTAGTGAGTAGTGAGGAGCGAGTAGGGCGTAGTGAGTAGTGAGTAGAGAGTAGTCAGTAGTGAGTAGTGGGTAGTGATTAGTGAGTAACGAGTAGGGAGTAGCGAGTAGTGAGTAGTGAGTAGTGAGTAGGGAGTAGGGAGTAGGTCGTAGTGAGCAGTGAGTAGTAAGAATCGGGTTGCGGATAGTGGGTAGTGAGTAGCGATTGGTGAGTAGTGAGTAGTGGGCAGTGTGTAGTGACTAGTGACTAGTGACTAGTGAGTTTAACTAGTCACGAGAGACCATGTAGTGACTAATGAGTAGGGCGTAGTGAGTAGTGAGTAGTGAGTAGCGGGGAGTGAGTAGTGAGTATTGAGTAGCGAGTATGGGAGTAGAGAGTAGTGAATACTGAGTACGGTGTCGTCAGTATTGTGTAGGGAGTAGCGAGTAGCGAGTAGTGGGTAGTGAGTAGTGATTTGTGGGCAATGAGTAGTGAGTAGTGAGTACTAGTGGATGGTGGGTAGTGGGTAATGAGTAGTGTTTCGTGAGTAGTGAGTAGGGACTAGTGAGTAGTGCTTAGTGAGTAGTGAGCATTGAGTAGTGGGTAGTGAGGATTGCGTAGTGAGTAGTGAGTAGGGAGGAGGGAGTAGTGAGTACTAAGTAGTACGCTGTGCGTAGTGTGGAGTGAGTAGTGAGTAGTGATGAATAGAGCGTAGTGGGTAGTGGCAAAGGGTAGTGAGTAGTAAGTCGCAGGTAGGGAGTAGCGAGTAGTGAGTAGTGAGGAGCGAGTAGGGCGTAGTGAGTAGTGAGTAGAGAGTAGTCAGTAGTGAGTAGTGGGTAGTGATTAGTGAGTAACGAGTAGGGAGTAGCGAGTAGTGAGTAGTGAGTAGTGAGTAGGGAGTAGGGAGTAGGTCGTAGTGAGCAGTGAGTAGTAAGAATCGGGTTGCGGATAGTGGGTAGTGAGTAGCGATTGGTGAGTAGTGAGTAGTGGGCAGTGTGTAGTGACTAGTGACTAGTGACTAGTGAGTTTAACTAGTGACGAGAGACCATGTAGTGACTAATGAGTAGGGCGTAGTGAGTAGTGAGTAGTGAGTAGCGGGGAGTGAGTAGTGAGTATTGAGTAGCGAGTATGGGAGTAGAGAGTAGTGAATACTGAGTACGGTGTCGTCAGTATTGTGTAGGGAGTAGCGAGTAGCGAGTAGTGGGTAGTGAGTAGTGATTTGTGGGCAATGAGTAGTGAGTAGTGAGTACTAGTGGATGGTGGGTAGTGGGTAATGAGTAGTGTTTCGTGAGTAGTGAGTAGGGACTAGTGAGTAGTGCTTAGTGAGTAGTGAGCATTGAGTAGTGGGTAGTGAGGATTGCGTAGTGAGTAGTGAGTAGGGAGGAGGGAGTAGTGAGTAGAGAGTAGTGAGTAGCGAGTGGTGGGTGGTGGGTAGTGAGTAGTGGATAGTAAGTAGTGAGTCGTGAGTAGCGAGTAGGGGGTAGTGAGTAGCGAATAGTGAGTAGTCAGTAGTGGGTAGTGAGTAATGAGTAGTGAGTGCTCTTTGGGGCTGGGGTTAGTGGTTGGGGTTAGGATTAAGGGTTTGGGTTAGGGTGAGGACTAGGGGTAGGGGTGGCGGGGGTGGGGCTCCGGAGTCAGGGGGCGGCGTGGCGAAAGGGGGGGAAGGGGGGTGGGGTTGCGGCCAAAGGGAGGGAGGGGAGGGGGGGGGGCCGGACCCCCCCCCCTTTTGAAAGGGGGGAAGGAGGGCGGGGGGGGGGGTCCGCGACGACGGATCGGGGAAAGGGGAGGGGGTTCCCGACGACGGATCGGGGAAGGTTTCTTTGCGTTTATATGACGTTTGTTCGGGATGTTGTTAGCGTGTATGTGGCATGTGTTTTCGCTGACCAGTTCTTAAAACAACAACGTGAAACAGATTGAGCAACAAAAACATTACGGTCTGCACCAGGGTCGCGCCCGGCCCGCTCGATTGTCTCGCAGCACGCGCCTGGCTCGTCCGGACGATTTGCCCGCAAGAACTGATGACGCCCTGGGTCCGAAGGGTGCGCTTGCGCGAAGGCCTTCAGGGGGCAGCCAGCTCATAGCACACATTCCAAGACGGTCCGAGACCCAAGGCGCAAATCCCGAGGCGGCGCCCCGGCCTTCTCTCACTGCGACTCCGCGGGCAGGGGGGGAGGAGAAGACGGGCGTCGCTCGCATTGGCGGTGCCTGCTCGGGGCGCTCGCACGGGCCTCCGGGCGCACATGGGCACCCATCAAGGGCCGAGGGCCTATCGAGCCCGTCCGCCCGCAGGTGGCCGCCCCTGCGGCGCCATCACCTGCCGTCGGGGGCGCGCTCGGGGGCGCGCTTTCGCCGATCGGGGCGCCGCGCCGCCTGGACGACGTCGCCCTCGGGCGCGGTCTGCGTGGGCGCCTTCCGCCGCGACTTCCTGGGACTTGTAGGCCGCAGACTTCGGATCAAGCCAGACGCTGGCTGATGGCTCTGCTGGGCAAGTGCAACAATGGGGTGCAGTCGTTGCCTGGGGCGGCCCTAGAATCTCGAGCTGTCAACGCCCCAAGGCGGGGAGGGGGCGCGCAGTGCAGTGGCGAAGCGCGGCGTTCTACGCAAGCGCGGGCAGTCTTTCGACACGCCCGCTGTCAGGCTTAGCAACTAAGCTTCTGTCTGAGTTGTTTACTGTGCCCTGGTGGGTTGGACCAATGTATAACATTCGTCCTCATCCTAAACCTTCTTCTCGCGTCTCCTTCCCCCATCGTTCCTTCATCATAACAACAATCCTTCCAGCGCTGATGTGCCACATAGATCACACGTCGCCATGTCGAACTCCATGAGACCGCAAGTTCAACGCCAGCCTACCATGCCATACCGATAAAATAAGCACCCGCCACTATAAAACCCCATGAAAGTGCATTACGTGTTTGGCGCCTGCATTTGTTTTATTGTCGGATGCGGCGTTTGGTTCACGATTGTGTTTAAATTGTGCATATCTGTACATCATTGAGTTGGCGCTCGTCCTTCGCGACGGTGGCACATTGCCGTGTGAGCAATGTTGATGCTTATGCGTTTGTATGTCGGTTGCGATGGATGGTGGCATTTGTTGTGTGGTTTCTGGAGGGGGTGCGGCCTCGGACAAATTATGCGGCAAACCATCTGAATTGGAGTAGGTGTATTACAACGCGAGGCGCAATGAGAACGGTCGACGCCAACAGAGCAGTTACCAACGTCTTCCTGGAGAGGCCCTCCGGGGAATGCCGTTTATCAGGTGTTCGATGTTGTAGCGTGCCTTTGCAGTAACGTTGCATGGTTGCCGCGTTGTCTGTAATGGCCCTCCAAGCGGCTCTTGGGGGACTCGGGTGCCTCCAGGGGCCGCGTGGCTCTTTCGAGCTTTTCAGGTGCCTGTGGGGGGTTTGTTGGTCGTCCTTAGAAGACTCAGCTTTCTGGTGCCCTTTGTAGAAAGCCCTTGTCTGCCTATCTTTGGGTTCCCTTGGGCATATAGTGGGGCAGAATCGGGCCATCTCAGTGTTTCCTGGAGGCCTTCGAGGTCCATCTGCGGCCCCGAGGATTCCATAATGACCCGGGGGACGCCAATGTCGTTTAACAGGGTCCAACGCGGCTTTGGTGTTGTGTTGTTATTCCCGTTGCTTCGGCCGCAACGCGTCCAAGACAGCCAACGAAGCACCAACAGCATGACCCAAAGACGTCCCAAACGGCTCCCAAGACGACCTACAAGCACCCAAAGAGAGCAATACCCCAGGACGGGTCATGGGCTCAATAATTGGGTTGGGTACAATTTCGGCAAGCCGCTCGAACAACAGCTGGGACAAAACAAAAACGGTACAGAAGCAGTCCTGGCAACTGGAGTGTTCCCCAGTGGGGGGGGGCGGGGGGCGCGCCTTTAAGGACCTTGCACGCCATTAGTTCCCCAAGAACAGGTAACAATTCGAATACGCTAGCCCCAATTAACCTCGACCTGACTGAGGGCGCTCCACTACGTGCCAGGGGCACAGGCGCACTTGAAGTTCGTTTGTTGGTGGTAGATCGTAGATGTGGCACAACTGAACCTTTCGTTCGGTGAAGACCAGGCCCCGCAGTGATTTTGTTCAGTCACTATTGCCCTGATTGCGGCTTTTCAGCACGGGGCGGCGCCCCAGATCAGCGCCCCAAAGGCGCGGGGCGGGGTGCGTCGCCTCCGCGGCCGACGCATGTTGCCCCAGTCACCCCAAGGACCCGTTCTATCTGGGCCCTGAGGCGCCTGCATGGATGTGGGTGGTTTGTGGGACACTGTTGGTAACCATGGCTGCATGCTCAACGAAATGAGAGAGAGAGAGAGGAAAAAAAAAAAGCCCGTTTCCACCCAGGCTTTGCCCCTGCAAGGGGCGGCGGGCCCTCTTCTGAAGCTCAAATGGCTAAGGATGGGGCACGGGCTCTGGGCTAAGAGGGGACAGCAAAAATCGCTCGCAACGCAAGACAGATCACCATAACGGCGGTTGGGTCTGAGGGTTTCTGCCTGCCTGGATGTTCGTTCTGCGCGGCTTGTTGGCACGCCCTACGCACGTGCCTGTGATGCTCGACCTGCCCCATTCGTCCTTGCCTCTTTCACCAGAATTCGTCTTCTAACAGTGCTGGCCGAGTTGAGCCGTGCGTAGCCCCAGAGGCTCCCGACGGGCGGGCAAAAAAGATGTGCATGGTAGTGCCTGTGTATGTGTGGCCCACTGGCCCCAGACTCAGCAGGGTGCCACTGTCAAGCAGCTTGGAGAGCGTCTCCGCGCTGAGGTGAAGTGAGAAAAGGAGGGCGGGGGGCGGGGTGGGACTGGCGACGAGAACGCCGAACGGATGAAGGTGTCTGTTGGAAGGAGAGGAGGTAGAGACCGAGGAGGGATGGGGGGATGGAGAAGCTGAGCCGCGACGGGTGTCATCAGCGCCCTGAGCCAGCACCGGCAGAGCATGCGAAGACCTTGTCAGCCAGGCGCCGCCGGGGAGGCCCGTTGCAGTGCGCCCACGCTCACGGAGGACCCCGGGTGGGCCATCCGCTTATCGGGGTGCCCGCCGATCGCTCGGTCTCTGCGTCAAAGGCCACTGGCATAGCACAGCCTGGGTTTCATTTCTGCCGATGCACACAGAACAGTCTGATGAGAAGATGCCCGCCGACGATAGACTAGTTCGGAGGGCGATTGTCATGTGTTCTTCTCTTTGGTCAGACTGCGCGGGTCATATACCTACTGCCCTTGGGCATACTCCTATTGGGAAGTTGACTAGGGATCTGCGTTTTGGGCATGTGGTCCGCAATGTCCCCGCACGTTCTGCTTTGCATGGGAGCGTCGGCCCTCGGATGTGCAGCAGGTTCTGGGAGCCCACGGCCGGAGGTGACTGGAAGTTTTCTGCGCATCTGTTTTGCATCTGTCTGCAACCTCTGCCCTACTGCCTTGCTAATCTGACTGGTCCTGATTTGGGTCCAGATCGCGTCCGTCCTAATAGCTTTGTGGGCCTGCACGGAAGATCGCAACCGCAGAAGGCAGTGTTGTATTTGCGAGTTTCCCAGACAGTTCTTGTGCTCATGGGGTCCTACTCCTCTTCAGGAAAATCGGTGGGTCTGTCGCGCCCCGTACGCCGGGTGGGTCTGTCGAGGTTTGGCTTGGTGGGTTTGTGGCCTCGCCCGTGTACTTGTCTTTTTTTCCGTGTTGTCCTCACTCTCGCCTGGCTACCCTCCCCGTCATCCACGCTGTCGCCCTCGTCATCACTCACCTTGTCGTCGCCGTCGTCCTTCATTTCTTTCCCCAACGAGCCCAACAAACAAGATCGGCGCTTCCCGTTCTTGTCCGGTCAGGTTTTCATCACAAGTTTCGCAAAGCATTTGCCCGCGCGCATTTGCTGATATCATGTGGAACCGTTTGAGTTTAGCAATCTCGGTCAGGAACAGCACTCTAATCTCACAACGCGGCGCATCCTCGCTGATCTAGCAAGCGCCCAGTGCAAACATCTAGATCCAATCATATCATGCGGGCCACGCGCGCGCCGCCAGTTCGAAACATTCCAAGATATCATTCTCTCCAAATCACATGGAAACACCCAACCCAGTTCGCATCTCATATAGCGCACAGCCATCGTGCAAGGATTCCAGAGAAAAACCCAATCATATTTTTTTAGGGCTGTAGGGCCATATGGGCTATATGGGCTATAGGGCTATTGGGCTATAGGGTAACAGAGCTACAGGGCTATAGGGCTTTAGGGATATAGGGTATAGGGTTATATAGAGTTATAGGGCTATACGGCTGTAGGGCTATAGGGCTATTGAGCTCTAGGGCTACAGGGCTATAGAGCGATAGAGCTGTAGGGCTATAGGGCTATAGGGCTATAGGGCTATTGGGCTATAGGGCTATAGTGCTATAGAGCTATTGGGCTATAGGGCACGCCCGGGCACCCCCGGGTACGCCCGGGCACCCGGGCACCCGGGCACCCGGGCACCCCGGGGCACCTGGGCACCCGGGCGTGCAGCGAAAATCGGCGGCAAACTTAACCTAACTATATGAATCCGCTAGGGCCCCTACAGAGGCAAGCTCTGATTCGGGAATAACGGATTGCTGGGGCCCACGTTGGCAAACATTGTGTTGGTGTTGGGAGAGGCACATGTGTAATAGCACACGGGTTCTTTCGCAAATCGAGTACCGTATTTGCGATCCCCACCCACCTTCGAGATCATGTTCATCAGGCCACCCGATGGGGACGATCGCGTGACGATTGTTTGTTCTGGAGGTTCGTTGAGGAGTCGCAAACAGGGAACGGTAGTATTGGTGCGGCTTCGAGTTGTTATGACACTTCAGGTTGCCCTTTGTAACCTCCTCTGACGCTTGCGGCAATATCCGATCTAGTCAAAACTGTGTCAAGTTTCGGTTGGTTGCACCCCGAAGCGAGAAAGAGTGGATTGGCACAAGGCACGGGCTGGACTGTATCGCATACGGTCGACATGATATGTTGTGGCACGTTCACACCAAGCAGTCGGACAGTGGAATCAGCATTGTCCGGTCAGCGGTAGTACATATTCTGGATGCAAATCCCCGTGACGCCCTTTTGCGACCGAGATTGGCTGGGCCATGCAGAGCACAGTCGGCACATAAACATTCAAACATGTTGGTGCATGTGCGGGCATGCGGATATTTGCATGGATGATCCATCATCCCAGATAGCACTCTCGGATTACGCTGTTTGGCTGCATTGTGTCATCCAAATGTGTTTCACGAACGTTGGATCCATTGACAAAGCCTTTTGCCCGTCCGTACCCTTTCCAGGTCGATTCGGGACACTCATCCTCCTCTCCCTCCTTCCATCTTCTTCCTCCTCGTGACATTCCTGGGGGACCGTACAAGCCAATTCCAGTGACGGAGCCTCCGACCCCGAAACAGTTTTCCACAATGGCATTTCCCCTTCACGAGCCCTCTTCCCTCCTCGCAGCGGTCGAGACTCACATTGCCAAAGGTGCCCCCGCTTCGTACTCCTGGCCCCCTCGACGACGTGTGCGAGGTCGCAGAAATCCGTGACATTCTGCGGTTCAGACCCCGCGCAGTGCACAGCGAGGGACCATCCCCGAGTTGCTAGATATATATCAGCTGAGGTTGCCGACTTCTCCTTCGCCCCAGCACCGCTGAATGGCACGAACGAGGAGCCTCCCGGTGGGAAGGAGGAGGGTGTGCAGGGCTGCAGCGCGCTACAGATTGTGCAGTGTCTCAGCGGTGCAAGCAGACGGGACAGATCAGCGGAGGCCCGAAGAGCCTAGATGGTGATCAAGGTTCGACTATGGGACCTAGTTCTAAACTCGCGAAGCCACGCATCTAATTCAACATACGACCCGACCCCCGGGCTGAACACAAGGAACGTCAGCGCATGAGTAGAGTTATCCCGCGGCGCAAAATGTTGAGACCTGCAGGGGAACGGGCAGCCTTCGCCACAGGCGAATCACCGACCACAGGTCGGCGGGTCGCCGAAGGCATGGCCAGACGAGCTTTCGCCGCAGAGGGTCGCCAAGCTAACATTTTAGGCATCTGGCATTGGCGTAATCAGGACGCAGGGAAATTCTAGACGCTTCGCGTATCCCCACCAGCCCGTCCAGAAATGAGTCCCAGGGGAGTGGAGGTTATGAGGGAAGCGGGGGAGCATGCAGAAGAACAAAGGGCGGGGTGAGCCGCCATATACCCCAAGAGGGGGAGGATGTAGGAGGAGCCGTCGTCGTCGGAGTAGGAGGAGGAAGAGGAGGAGCAGGAGGAGGAGCAGGAGGAGGAGGAGGAGGAAGATAAGGAGGAGGAGATGGAGGACTGCGAGGACGAGGGGGACGAGAAGGAGGAAAAGGAAAAGGAGGAGGAGGAGGAGGAGGAGGAGGAGGGGGAGGGGGAGGAGGGAGGAGGAAGAAAAAGAGGAGGAGGAGGAGGACAATGGCGAGCTTGGGGGCCTCTTGGGCCGTCTTTGGAGCCTCTTGGCGGTCCCGGGGGCCTCTTGCGTATCTCGGGGAGCCTCTTGTGGCCTCTTGGGGGTCTCTTGGGGGCCTCTTGGAGGCCTCTTGGGGGCCTCTTGGGGCCTCTTGGGGCTCTCTTGGGGCGCTCTTGGGGCGCTCTTGGGAGCTTTCGAGGCGCTCTTGGGGCCATCTTGGAGGAGATCTATCAAAGAAGGGGGGGTCCTCAATTAGCGCTGCCCCTCTAGAGTGCCTCGAATCGCTTCTTGGGCCCTTCTTGAGGCCAAAATCTTTCCAAAACCTAGGTAAAATCAATGTTTTGTGTTTTCTCGCCTTTTCGCTCTTGGAGCCGTCTTGGGCCGTCTTGGGAGCCTCTTGGGCCTCTTGGAGGTCTCTTGGGAGCCTTTTGGAGGCCTCTTGGGCGCCTCTTGGGGCCTCTTGGGGCGCTCTTGGGGCGCTCTTGGGGCGCTCTTGGGAGCCTTCGGGGCGCTCTTGGGGCCATCTTGGAGGAGATCGATCAAAGAAGAGGGGGTCCCCAATTAGCGTTGCCCCTCTAGAGTGCCTCGAGTCGCCTCTTGGGCCCCCCAAGAGGCCAAAATCCTTCCAAAACCTAGGTAAAATCATTGTTTGTTGCTTTCTCGCCTTTTCGCTCTTGGAGCCGTCTTGGGCCATCTTGAACTCTCTTGGGGCCTCTTGGGGGTCTCTTGGCAGCCTCTTAGAGGCTTCTTGGGGGCCTCTTGGGGTCTCTCGGGGCCCTCTTGGGGCGCTCTTGGGGCGCTCTTGGGAGCCTTCGGGGCGCTCTTGGGGCCATCTTGGAGGAGATCTATCAAAGAAGGGGGGAGCTCCAATTAGGGTTGCCCCTCTAGAGTGCCTCGAAGCGCCTCTTGGGCCCCCCCAAGAGGCCAAAATCCTTCCAAAACCTAGGTAGAATCAATGTTTTGTGCTTTCTCGCTTTTTCGCTCTTGGAGCCGTCTTGAGCCATCTTGGGCGTCCCAACGACCCGCGGAACGCCCCGTCCAGGTCAGTGGGGAGGGGTAAGGGGAGGGGTAAACCCCTCCCCGAAGGGGAAGAAGGGGGTTGGCAGAGGAAACTCCCTAAACCACCTACGCCCTAAAGGGCTGGTGGGATTGTGGCGTAGATTGGATAGCCAAGCTCCATAGAGTGGCAACTACCTTCAGACGTCGAAGCGTGTCATATCGAATGCATTGGTAAAAATATTGTGTTCTGTGAGATTCCTCCCGATGGCCAGCGAACACTCGTGTCGAACAGACAGATGAGGGGGGAGCTCAGCACCGTCGTCACCATCGGCCGGATCGCATGCAGTGTTGTCACATAGTCAGTGATCTCAGGTGTGCTAGGACATCGACAGGACATTAACACCATTGGTGCATGCCCAGCCGAGACCACATCGCCAGCTCACCTCAAGTGGTTCATAGCAGTCGTCGGTCACACCGGACTTGGCACTTTCACCGCAAAGGCCTCTTGCGTGGCACTGTTCATGGCGCGAATCTCAGTCTGAGGCCACGCGTGTCTGACTTAAGCGGCTGGGGGGAGCGAGGGCCAGCAACGCGGGGGATGAAGACCAGGATCCCCTCGCTGCCGGCAAGGAGGCCGCCGCGCTTGCAGCGGTCGCGCTTGCCGAGGTGGAGGGGCCCGCGGGCGTGGAGGCCGCCCCGCGCCAGGCGTCGGTCACTGCGGAGCTGGCCAGGCCAGGGCAAGCCCCAGCCGCCGCCCTGCCGACGGCCGCTGGAGGCCCGGGCGAGCCAGAGCAGTGGCCGCCGCCCGCCGCTGCCGGCCCGGCGGCCTCCTCGGCGGCGCCCGCGGCCTCTGCGTTGGCGGCCTCCGCCCCGGCGGCCTCCGCGCTGGCGGCTTCGGCGGCCTCCGCGGCGGCGGAGCCCGCCTCCGCGTCGGCGGCCGCGGCCCCTCCGTTGCCTGCTGCCAGCGCGGCCCCAGACGGCACGCCCGCAGCGCCGCGGGGACGCCAAGCGCTGGCACGCCTGGAGCTGGGGCCAGGAGCCACCGTGGGAGGAAGCGGGGGCAAGACACATCATCTGGGCGTTTTCCTGTTGTCCAGCACCGTCTGGGTAGGGTCGGGGGCCACCGTTGGGGAACAGAGCCCTCCTGTGGCGTTGGGTCTTAGCGTTCCTCGACAGTGCGCCGCGGGAGCAAGGGGCCCCACCTGCGGCGCCACGTGGGGCACCCGCATGCGCACACGCTTCAGTTTCGCACATCACTTACGCATTGCGCGTTCCGTAGTGATCTCCATCTGCGGCGGCAGTGGCAGCGGCAGCACCTGCACGCATACATTCCTCATATTAGCATGCGCTTCGAATTTCCGTGCCCCACGGAGGGGGGCCCCAACCACGGCGCCAGCAGGGAAATTGCATGGGCCCCCCCTCTCTTCATGGGCGTTCAGCTTCCCAGTCTTTGCGCTGGGTGCGAGGCGTTGTCCTGTCGCTCAGCCGCCGCTTGTCGCTGGCGATCTATGTTGCGCGTGTCTTCGGGCCACCACTCCTTCATCACATGCCCTCCCTCCTGCGTATGCAGAGTCTCTGTTGTCCATGCCTCTCTTCGCCGGCGTTACTCCCGCCCGTAACCAAGATCGCACGGCGGAGCTTGGAGCGCGTCGGTTGAAACGTAATTGCGATTGTTGTGGCCAGAAAGGTACGGGTTTGAGAATGACACCCCGTCGCGACGGCGGAGGAGAACATGTGCACGTCCCTCGTTGGACCACACCCGTCCCGCATTTCGCGCCCTCAGTCAGCCCCAGCTACGACGGCCAGTAGGCACGACCGCGTGTGCGCACCTTTCATTCTGGCACACACCCTCGCACATTTCGTGCTCCATAGAGAGCCGCATGGGCCCCAGTGCCCATTCTGGCACACCCCTCGCTCACGTCGTGCCGGTAGCAAGTCAATTTTACGGCGCAATCGGGGGCGAGGACGGCCGCATGCGCACATGTGTCTTTTCACGCATCTCGCGTTTTAGGTGGAGGCTTGGTTGTAGCTCCAGTGGGTATGACCGCATCTCTGAACGTTCTTGCGGTGCTGTGTCCTCGGTTCCTCCCCACGGCGCCCGTCACCAGCCTCACTTGCTCCTTGAATGTTTGGTTTTACTGCAGCTGCTGATACCGCCACTGCTGCTGCTCGCTATCCCAGACTCCGTAGCGCAGGAGATCGTCATCCTCGCGTGGTGCCTTCGCCCTCTTCCCTCCTCTTCTCTCACCCGCACCCCTCCCTCCAGCTACAAACTCACGCACGACCAGGCCCCAACGTATTCAGACCCGCATGCGCAGGCGCAGTCCCCCGATAGTCTAGTTATGCTGCCCCAGACAAGCTCCATCGTCTACCGCATGCGGCTCCTGTTATTGGGCCCACAGAGCGGAAGCCACGGCGGGCCCTCCTTCGGGGAACGAACCAGAAATAGTTTCGGCGTGTCTCCAGGCCGTCTGGGAGCGTCGTGGAGCTCTCCTGAAACCCTCTCGGGCTGTATTGGGCCCTTCTCGGGCCGCCTAGAATTCGTCTGAACATGACTGGGGCTCTCTGGAAGTTTATTGTGGCCGTCGTTGGCCCTCCTGGCGCCCTCTTAGGGCCATGTCAGAGGCCGCCTGTCGAAAAGGTTGAGTCTGTCGGCGGCGCATGCGTAGTCAATGGTCTCTCAGAGCGCCTTTTTCACCACCTAGGATGGTATGGCCCTATGCCAGTATGCGATTTTCAACTTCAGAGCCTGAGGAACAAAATCTCCCGCGCCCCCTGATTCCGCGCAGCTTTTGAGGGTGCGTGTGCTCGCCGAGCCGAAGAACCTCACTAGCAATCAGAACCATACCCCCACCCCCAGAAGCGCGACGCCTCCCATTCTACACCAGCGAGGACGCGGACCAAGGGGGGGTAGTTGGTGGGGGAAGCGATGCCCGCAAGACATCGGAGCTGGACGATGGTGAGCACGACATCCCAAGGCAGCCGCTGAATTCGCGCCAGGGCCGAGGACTAGGAGGCCCGAGAATTCGGCATTGTTGGCCAACGGGGGCTGGAGGGCAGCACGATAAATGTCTTTGTGCGCCACTCGAATCGCCGCACCCAGAGCGGAGGTAAAAAAGCCGTGTGGCAAAGGCATAACAAGAACAGTCGCGGCAAGGGCTTCGGATGGGATCGTCGCAGCACGTCTCGACACGTCGCTTCGCGGGCCCACCGCCGTCTTCCCAGGCCAGAGAACAGCACGAGAGGCGGAAACACTAGAGATGATTTAAGGGTGGCAATCGACAGGCCCTATGATATTCAAGCTACCAGCACGATGTGCGACAGGGCACACTATCGGAGGTTGGGGGGTGAGATCGCAGTGAAACGGAGACCCCCCACCGGGAAATCGGTTTTGGTATCGTGTTCGTGTTGTGCGTGCGGGCGAGGCGAAGCTGCGCGTGATCCTCCTGTAGCGAGGCCGAAGTAGGAGCGAAAGTCTGGGTGCCCGTCCGCCGGTGGCCGGTTGGGCCGGGCGGTGTCCCGGGTGTCCCGGGTGTCCCGGGCGTCTTTTCCCGTCCGCCGGTGGCGGGTTGGGCCTGGCGGTGTCCCGGGTGTCTTGGTGGTCCCGGGCGTCCCGGTATCGATATTGAGATCGATGTGGTGCCCCGAGGTGTCCTGTGGTGTCCCGTGGTGTCCCAAAAAGTGAGATCGATAGTGAGATCGATTATGAGATCGACAGGTTTCCCATTGTGTCCCGTTGTTTCCGATGGTGTCCCGTTGAGTGAGATCGATAGTGGGACTGATAGTGAGATCGATGTGGTGCCCCGAGGTGTCCCGCTGTGTCCCAAAAAGTGAGCTCGATAGTGAGATCGATAGTGAGATCGATAATGAGATCGATAGTGAGATCGACAGGTGTCCCGCCGTGTCCCGCGGTGTCCCGTTGAGTGAGCTCGATAGTGATACCGACGGTTAGATCGACAGGTGTCCCCCGGTGCCCCGTGGTGTCCTAAGGTGTCCCGTTGAGTGACATCGATAGTGAGACCGATAGTGAGATCGAGAGGTGTCCCGCGGTGTCCCGTGGTGGCCCGTGGTGTCCCGTGGTGTCCCGTTGAGTAAAACCGATAGTGTGATCGACAGTGAGATCGACAGGTGTCCCGTGGTGTCCCGCTGGGTGAGATTGATAGTGAGATCGATACTGAGATCGATGTGGTGCACCGAGGTGTCCCTCGGTGTCCCGTGGTGTCCCGTTGAGTGAGATTGATAGTGAGATCGATGTGGTGTCCCGAAGTGTCCCGTGGTGTCCCGTTGAGTGAGATCAATAAATAGTTAGTGAGATCGACAGTAAGATCGAGAGGTGTCCCGCGGTGTCCCGTGGTGGCCCGTGGTGTCCCGTTGAGTGAGATCGACAGTGAGATCGAGAGTGAGATCGACAAGTGTCCCGTGGTGTCCCGTGGTGTCCCGTTGAGTGGGATCGATAGTGAGATCGATTGAGTCAGATGTTGGTTCTCCCCCCTTCTCCCCCCCCACAACCTCCTTATCACCCGAAGGGTGGTCGTATAGGTACTTCCCCAGTGGGGCAAGATGAGGGCAGGCTGCCCGTCGACATGGAGATGTAGAAAAATAACGAACGCCGTAGAACCCGCATGGCATCCTTTCGAAACCTGGGCATGCTCTGCCCCAGTTCAGCCATCGGAGGTGAGGGGGTGAGATCGAAGTGGAACGGAGAGCCCCCCTACCGGGAAATCGATTTCGGTTTCGTGTTCGTGCGTGCCGCGCGTGCGGGCGAGGCGACGCTGCGTGGGCGGGCGAGAGGAAAGTCTCCTGTGGCTGAGGCGCGGCCGGACGAAACGACTCCCTTCCGGCAACCGGTGCCGCGCGGTGTCCCGCCAGTGTCCCGCTGTGGCTGAGGCGCGGCCGGACCAAATGATTCCCTTCTGGCGTCTGGTGCCGCGGCGTGTCCCGGCGGTGTCCCGCCGGTGTCCCGTCGGTGTCCCGATGATGATGATGATGATGATGATGATGATGATGATGATGATGATGATGATGATGATGATGATGATGTTGATGATGATGATGATCATGATCATGATCATGATCATGATCATGATCATGATGATCATGATGATGTTGATGATAGTGATGATGATGAGGTCGATGATGTTGATGATGATGATGATGATGGTGATGGTGGTGATGATGATGGTGTCCCGATGATGCTGATGATGATGTTGACGATGTTGCTGATGATGGTGATGATGATGATGATGATGGCTATGGTGGTGATGATTATGGTGTCCCGATGGTGATGATGATGATGATGATGTTGATGATGCTGATGTGCCTGTTGATGATGATGGTGCCTCGATGATGATGATGATGATGATGTTGATGATCCTGGTGTTGTTGATGATGATGAGATGATGATGGTGCCCCGATGATGATGGTGATGCTGAGATTGGTGGTGATGTTGATGATGATGATGATGGTGATGATGCTGGTGTCCCAATGATGATGATGATGTTGATGATGATGATGACGATGCTGGTGTCCTGATGCTGCTGATGATGATTATGTTGATGATGAAGGTGATGATGAAGTGGTGATGATGATTTTAATGATGGTGGCCCGATGATGATGATGTTGCTGATGATGATGATGGTGTCACGATGGTGGTGATGATGCTTGTGACGATGATGATGGTTGTTCGGTGATGGTGATGATGTTGGTGGTGCTGATGTTGCTGATGATGATGATGTCCCGATGATGTTATTGATGATGTTGTTCATGATGATGATGATGTGCTGATGATGGTGGTTTTCCAATGTTGATGATGGTGGTGCCCCGATGATGATGATGATGATGATGATGATGGTGATGAGGTTGATGATGATGATGGGGACGATGATGGTGTCCCGATTATGATGATGGTGGTGATGTTGGTGATGATGGTGTTGAGGTGATGATGATGACGATGGTGTCCCGATGATGGTGCGGATGTTGATGACGTTGATGACGATAATGTTGATGCTGATGATGCGAGCGTTGAGTGTGAGATCG